ACCACTTCTTTAGCTACTGTCACAATAAATGTATAATTTATCATATTTACCCCTCTGACAGATTCCTCTGAAATCTCAGATGAGAATCAGGAAGGCTCCAGTGTCTCCAAGTGTCTTTTAAAATGACTCGGTTCTGTGCTCTGCAGGCTGAAAGATTGTTTTGATTGTTAAAACAGTTCCTAATTTATGTTTAAAAAAGCTTCAGGAGCCAGGCGGTTCCCTGCTCTCTCAGAGGCCATTGAGTTAAAACAAGGTAGAGTGATTTGTCTTGCCTCAATTTAGCTGTAATGAGTATTAAGTGGTTTATCTATGTGGAGAAAAGTTACTCAGCTAGATTACATCCAAGTTGAATTACACCCCGTTCCAGATGGAGTATATTTTTTAAGACGGTAAATCTTGAGGAGGGTGGATAATAACAGTAATGCTCCTTCCTGGGCTGGAATGTGACTCTCCTGCTTCTTATGGAGATAATGTGCGGAGCTACATCCAATTAGTTTTTCAAAGGCTTTGCAAAGAAACGGGACTTCAGGTTTTACGGCTCTGCAAACGATTTAGCTTGAAGCATTTATGTTGTACAAGTGAGCGATGGCTGATGGTCGTTATGGTTTTCATCCGTTTTTCTGTCGTGGGTGTGGGGCATGACGCCATCTCTCTCCCTGACCTCCTCTTCTGCACCACTTCTGCTGCGACTGGGAGGGTGTTGGGTGGGAGGTTTTGATGGGAAATTCCTTCCCTCTGGTGCCATCTGGTCCACTAAGGCACCCATTGCTCATGCAGCTGGTGGTTGTGGACCCCAGGAGTAACTGGAAGAGGCCTCACTGGCATCCCAGGCGGTACCGAGTGCCAGAGCATCCTCCCAAAAAGCTTATCCTTGACCACGTGTCCTAGACCATGTGCCCTTGACCACCATCCTTGTCTGCTTCCCTGATACTGTTTTTCCCCTTCACTATGCCACACTTCTTCAGAGCCAGCTGGTGTGGTTGTCCCCCTGGGGTAGGACAAGGTGTCAGCTCACCAGCAAGGCACCAGCAGGCAGGGATGGACTCGAAGTTGCTACCACAAGGTGGTGGCTGGGCAGGCATGCTGGAGATATGCCACAGCACCCAGGTCTGGGAGCAGTTTGTGCCACCGAGAAGAGTGCATTTGGGTTGGGGAGGGTGGAGCATTCCTCACAGCTGGCGCCAGGTTTTGACAGGGCAATGAGGACCATTCAAGGGGATGAGGGGGTCCGAGCCGCCAGTGATCCAGGTCTGCTGCCTCTCTTGGGTGAGTCAGCAGGGTCATCCTTGCCCCATGGCTCTGGGGGAGGCGGGAGAGGAGGGAAACTCACTGATAAGAGGAAGGTCAGAGGCAGAAAAATGTTGGGAATGTGTTTCTTGATCTAACGTGGGAGAGACGCAGCCTGGGGTTTCACTGCTCAGCCTGGAAGCATTACTGCCTGCTGTCGTGAGAGTTATGGCATTTTTTAAACCTGAGATCAAGATGCAAATGGCTTATCTGGCACCTACCTCAACACAAGCAGGTCCAGAAGATGGAGGCGATTCATCTATGAGAGCACAGCGGAGATGGTGATGGCTGTGAGCAGTGTTTCTCAGCCTTTGCCTGAAATGGAGCATCTTCTGCTGAAAAAAGAGCTCATTTGCTTTTTTCTTTTTTTCTCCATATATTTTATGTTGCTGTGGGTATTTTGTGGCTGAGGTCAGACATCGGACATGATTTGGGGTTTAACAGTGGTGTTTGAAGAATTCTAGCAAATCTCAGAGAAGGCTTTCAAGACTGGGGGTGGCTGTGGTGTGCATTGGCTCCTGGGGATGCAGGGCTTGCCTTCCCAAGGAGTACCCTTCTTTTTTTTTTTTTTTTTTTTTCCCCGCAAAGGATATGAAACCAAAGTGAGGAAATAATTCTCTATCCATTTCCTTTTCTTTGGCAGCCATGCTCTGTTCTTTCCATCAGCCAGCCAATTGGTCCCTGTAGCATTCAGGGCCTGAACGCAACAGCTTCTGTGTCACCGTTCATCCGCTTAACCGTAATTTCCTGCAGCTGTTAGCAGCGCTGGAACCCACCACAAGCACATGTTGAAGAGGTTGCTCAGGGGGTTCAGGTTGCCAGCCTCCACCTTGGGTAACTTCCCACTGCGCTTGAACGCAGAGCTGCTGGAGAGGACCTCCTGCCGTTTCTCTGCCCTCCCTGGGCTTGTTTGCATCAGAAATAGTTCCCATAAGCATTTTTATTTTTTTTTTTTCGGTTGCTGTCCTTTGCACACAAAGTGGTGTGGTGGTCCACAACATAAACACTTAGTAGTGATAAGAATTAAGCTACAAAGGTGAGGGTGGGCACTGCACATAGCCAGCTCCCTCCTGCTTGGAAACAGGCTCGGACTGCTGAGGGGCAGCAGGCTTAGGCAGTGCTGTGGTTCTTGTGGAGCCTCTGTCTGTTACCGGCATCACGTTGAGATCTTCTTTTTTTACACTTGTTTATGCAAGTGCTGCTGTCTGTGCCATTCATGCATGCGAAGACTTTTTTCAGTCCAGAGGCATATCTCTGATTCCCAGTCAGGCGTGGATGGAGCTTCTCCTTTAACACCGCTTTGAACCTTCCTTGAAGCTGCTTTGAATGCCCCGATACTTTGAGATAAAAATCAGGGCCTGCTGTATCAGGATCACAGCATTCATTGTGTAGAGGCACTCAGCTCTGCTGCTGCTGCCCTGGCAGCATACGGGTACTGGTGAAGCTGGAGGGCAGGCAGGGAAGGACACCTTATCTGACCAGATCTGCCGAGGGAGGCTGTTGTATCCAGCACAGGAGTGGAAATGGTGGAGTCTCTGGTTGTCTTCAGACAAACCTGGAGACAGTTCTGGGAACTGTTTCGCCGAATGAGTATTACTGGACTGAACTTAGGGGTAAGTTAACAAAGCCTGTTGGCCTGGGGTGCAGGGGAGGTCAAACGAAAGGGTCCGTGGTCCTCCTGGCTTTGTGTTTAAGAATCTCAGACTCCCCTCTCACCCTGCTGGAGGACAGGTTCTTTACTAATTCGGCAAGTTGTTCAAGCTGATGCTGAAGTCTTGCTGACATAAGCACCAGTCTTCTGCAGCATTATACTCCCCACCGTTTGGTATGCATGGCTAAATTCACGATGCTGATGGCACGAGGCTTTCACGGGAAGGTGCTATGGATTGATCCTATAATCTGCTTGGTTTACCCTCATCTCCTCTGGTCTGGAGACTCCTCCTGCATTGGCAGAGGGAGTTTGTGGTCCCTTCAGCTGAAGGTGCTATTGCTGTGAACCTTACCACCACTTAAACTGTTCGCTGATCTCACATAGCTCCCTACGATGTCTTCTTAACCTTTTTCATGAGGACTCGTTCAGATTTCCTGGGTTTGGACAAAACACAATCCAAACAAAAAAGTGAGCAAGTTTCCTCTGGGGGCGTTTGTGCTTTAGATGGGCACTCGACTCCGATCTGTCCTGCTGTTCCTTTTTGTGCGGTTTGGCACTTGTCTATGGCAGCACTTCTTCAAGCATATTCCAATTTTTCTCTTGAATGGTCAAAGCACTCTCAGTGATTAGCTGTAGCTTGCATGCTAGCTCTTCTGCTAAACTGCCCCCAGAGTGGCCAAGAAACGGCATTCAGGCTTGTGCCGAGTGCGTTCGGCGGCTACTGGCAAAGGCAAAGATAAGCCGTTTAGCGCAGAGCCAGCCCAAACCTTACACGTGTGCACGGGCGTGTGTTCGTCTGCGCTGAGATGCGGGCAGTGGTGCCGGCTAACCATGCTGGGGCTGATCATCCCAAAAGCTGTGGGCAATCGGCAACATGCACCGCCATCAGCATCCTCACCAATTCACGCTCACTGAGAAGTCCTGTGGTTGAATAGTGGCTTTCGCAGTCGTGCCGTAATAAATTAAACGAGGTAAAATATATTTTGCGTTTGTGTGGAAAGCGGTCGAGTTTTTTCATATGCTTAAGCTGCAGAACTCTCTCCCTCCTTTTCCTCCTGCTGTGACAACTCACGGCCTCTGCTACGGAAATTACAAGTGGGGAAAAAATTTTGCAAACGTCCAAGTGGATGGAAGAGGAACTATTTATTGCAAACTGCTAAGGTAGAATGCAAAGGGAGAAGAGATTTTCCCAGGCTCCTTTATTTTCTTCTCTGCGAAATTTGCAAATGTGTTGCTTCAAAGCACATTTCAAAACAAAGCCCAGATGTTTTGAAGAGCAGTAAGCCACCCACAGAGCTCTCCCACAAGTTATCTTCTATGCCAGGTCACCCTATCTGGTGTTGCTGTATTACTGCGATGCTAAGCTGGCCCTTGCATTCCTTCAGGTTGAATATTACCATTTTATGTGAGGGTATTCTGTATTTTATTGTCCTGGTATTTTTCTGTTTAGCGTCACGTGCTTCCACTAGAAAAAAAACAGATGTCCTGGGTAGGGACTTGTGTGGGTCAGGCTGTGTGCAGGCTGCAGCTCTCTGGCCTGGCTGGATACGCTTCTTCCCCTTTTACAGCTCTGAGAGTTGTGGCAGTGACCTCCTTGTAGAGCTGTGCCAGCAGCTTATTTTTGTGCGTTTTTCGGTTGTTTCTGAAAGAAAAAGGCACGTGTGCGGAGGGGTTGTTTATTCAAACCTGAAGGGAAACATCTTGTTCTGTTGTTGAGTATTTTGATGCATTTTAGATGAACGAGAATGGCTTTCAAAGCTAGGAAATTACTTTTATAAAAAGTTATGAAGCACAATACTTCAACTTCACTTTCCGTCTGTACCCCCCAGCCCCCAACCTGGTGGCACTGGTACGGATTCTGAGAAGATAATTCTGTTGCTGAACCTCAGCTTTTTAGTGAAAAAAACTTTGGCAGAATCCCCTCCTCACCCTATGCACTTGGGGTTTTATTCATTAGGTCTTTCCCAAACTTGCCTTCCACTAGCGGGAAAACACACTGCTGTCTGACTGTACTTGCCTGTAACACAAGAAACTTAAACGTATTTTTTCTCTTTTCTTAAAGATTCATCTTCCAACTATATCAGGCAACTTGAAACAAAAGTGAAACTGCTGGAGGATGACAACAAGCTTCTTTCCCAGGTAGGTTTTATTGCCTAATTGATATTAATGTGCCTTGGTTCTTCTGTTTCTGTATAGTTGTATCTGAGGGCCTACTTGAATGCGCAAGGGCTTTCGGTGGATATTCTACTAGGGAAGAGCATAATGGTCTTTTCATATCAAACCCCCACTGACAGAATTTGGTCTGCTTTTGTCAAAAAAAAAAAAAAAAAAAAAGGGAAAAACACAAGGGAAAAAATAGAGTAAACTCTCTGTTAGTGTCCGTGTGTGTTTTGGAGATGCATTATCGCCTCCCTGCAGAACACCTTGATCCACCGCTGCTCTCGGGGATGCTGCGAGGGTCCGGCTCTGTCTGTGCCCTTGCTGTAGGATTTTGTCTTGCTTGCCCATTTATATTGACTTTTATCTTGTATACAGAGGAGGACAGCCTTGGGAATAGTTTTGTGCAGTGCTGGCTCCCAGCTTTTATTTGAGATCTTGCTTAAAACCAGACAGATTCAGTGAAACACTGTCTATTTAAACCATTAGAAAAGTTATCCTTTTTCTCTTGTGTTTGCATCCTTTCACTGTTGTATATTCTACCTCCCTGGCATTTTAAAGGTTTTTTTCTGTGCTTTGCTTCTTACTTCAAGCACTGAACTTCACAGTCATTTTGTTCCAGGTTCTTTCCAGTTATAAGGACTGGAAATAAAAAACCTCTCCTAATTATTATTTTTTTAAAAAATACCTTTTTGCCAGTTTATGTTGTGCTGTTCTTTGCATTTCACCACATCTGAAAATATACTGCTCCCAGATCATGTGTTTCTAAAACATTCCTGTTTAAAAAAAAAAAAAGAAAAGGCTCTGTGCTTACTGAAATGTCAATAAAATAATTTTGTCAAACCTTATTTTTACTGAAATACACATTTTGACCTGACTGTGAGCTTTTTTTTTTAAAGACCATCCCAAATTTCCAGTGTACTCATTGGCATTGCTAGCCGTGAAACAAAACTCACAAGGCACCGAAGGGTTAAAACCCCAGAAGGGTTAACGGAGTGGCTTCGTGTATTAATCAATTGCTAATTTAATTTTAACTCCCTCTGTCTTTCTCCCAACCCGTCAGTGAGCCGGTGGCGGTCAAAACCCCGAGACTGTTTTAATTGGAGCTATTGATAAGCAGACGGGCTGTGTGTGGGCAGCGGGGATGCTCATGGATTCGGGGACGGGTTCTCTGTGCCCTTGGCCCAGCTTCGTCCTGCCACAGCTGGGCACATTGCTCCATCAGATCTGCCTTCCGAGGTCAAAAAAAAAAAAAGTGGTTGCTAATTAATGGGTGGTAAATTAATGGGGGCTGAATAGCTGCCGGGGCTTATTGCACTGGGAGGACGCAGCCCGGTTAGTCTTGGGGTGCGTGAGCCTGGAGCATCAGCCCTTCACCCTGCTGTGCTGGGTGGGAAGGCTGTGCCTTTTCCTCCACGCACACCACTGTCCTCAGGTGTCCTCACCTTTCAGGTGCAAACATTTGGATCCAGAAGGGAGGGAAATGATCTTAAAAGAGCTGTGTGCTCTGGAGAAGGCCAGCTGCATGCCTGGCAGCAGCAGGCACCGATGCCACCAGCCTGGCTGTGACGTGCTGCGCAGCCCCTCTGCCATGTCTTAATGGCCCTCCAAAAAGACCAGGATCCGACCTATTTTAGATCACACTCAGGAAATACCTCCCGCAGGGAGACAGCTCTCCTTAGGGCAGACGGCGAAGTGTTGGAGCTACCATGGCCTGGGTGAGCTCCCTGGGAATACTGAGCTGCGTCACCTCCAGATCTGTCACGCTGCAAACCTAGATTTGGATTTTTTTCTCTTTCAATGAGAAAGATGAGGAAAATCTGTATAGGCACAAACCCACATGCGTATGTACACGTTGCTCCCGGCACTTTCCCGGAAAAGTATAATCCACTTACTGTATTCTCGCTTGCTTCATCTGATTGGGAAGTGTTTAGCTGTTACCATGCGGATCTCGGGATAAGACTCCAGTCAAAAAGGATCCTGGCATACTTTCTCCTGTTTTTGAAGTTGCCAGGTGATCCTGGCCGTCTGAACTCCGCAATGCCAAACTGGCTTGTCAACACCAAAGTCACATTTTAACTCGGCTTGGCTTTCTCCCTGGGAGTATTGACATTGCAATAATATTTGCAGTCTGATGTCAAGAAGTTCTATCACCGGTGTGCTGAGGAGTGATGAAACCTGACGTCCTAAGTAACAAACAGTGCCTGTGCATTAAGGGATTAACAAATCAGTGGTGGTTATGGAAGTCTTCCTGGCTTCTCTCCAAGTGCGAAACATAGAGCTGAAATAGTGCTTCATCCAGAGAAACCCGAGGAGGCTGGTGCTGCAAGTGGTATTGCAAGCTTTACAGGAGGACTTATGTTACGGTGGCCGGTGACACAATGCCCCTTTGCTCGCCGGTGTGTCCTGAGCGAGGTTCGTTGCTTTATCTTCTTCGGCATCTGGGGTGTGAAGCTATGCGGAGAGGTGGTGTCTTTGTGCCACCTTCAGGCCTGGAATCAAGCTGGTGCAGGGGTCCCCAGCCTGCATCGCTTTCTCCTGCTTCCTGACATCTTCTTTCTCCATAAGCACTTGGGAAGAAAATCTCAGCGGGAGAGGTGAGAGTTCCCCAGCCTGTGCCGAGGCGGCTGCTCTGCGCTGTACGTGTCACCTGTAGCGCAGGCGTGCTGGGGTTCACATCTCCTTTGCTGGTGACTCATTTGAACAGATTAATGGAGAGAGCTTTTCTTCCCCATGGGAGATCAAGAAGTACCACACTTTGCAGTGGGAGGAAAGTAAATGGAGAAGTGGATGTTATTTATGATAGCCGCATATGGATTTTTTGGGGTTTGACTTGTTTTGCTTTCTAGGGAAGGAGATGTGTATTTCCAGTTGGGAAAGGAGCTGCTTCTAACATTGCTAACCCATTAGTAATCATCGCTCTTCCCGTTCTCCTTTCTCTGAGGAGAAACGACTCCAGTTTTATACCTTTCTTTGACTCAGGTTTACGCTGTAATGTGTTGCTGGCATGGCCACGTTAACTAGAAAGTCATGCTCTTGGATGGCATTGCTGTGCCGGCAAGATCCCTGGCAGCAATACTGACAACACACAGCTTTTGTTGCCCTGGTTTGTACTGGTTGGGGAGATGCTGTAGCGAATGCCACTACCAGAAAAGGCCCCTCGATGCCTGCTCACCAGTGCTGGTAGGCATCTGTGGTGTAACCACAGTGGCAAAGACCCCGCAGAGCAGGTGGGGACCTCAGTGCCCTAGGGGTGACGATGTCAGCCTTTCTCACGAGTGTAGCTGGTTTCTGGAAGTTTTAGTCGAGGTGTAAAGAAGATGAACGTAAGCTCTGAGGAATGTTGGGTGTTGGCTTTGGAGAGCTTCACAGGCATCACTTTTATAGTCTCAGATTCTCTAGGGAAGAAGTGCACCAAGTTCTGTTGTGTGCGTGCAATTAATCTATGCAACATCATGTGGGAGAAGTCCTGGTTTTCCTCTGTGTCATTGTGGGGAGTGCCCAGGAGAGCTGGTGTTACCCTCTCTTTCACAGTGCCTGGTTGACTAGATGCGGGTACCTTTCATATTACTAAGATATAACTCCTGAGATGGGAGACCGTATGTGCTTTCCGTTCCTCCAAGCAGAAAAGACTCCTTAAGCCACCTCACACTGCCCCTTAAACTAAAAATGAATTTGTAATTACACCCTTTCCCCTCAAGATTAGAGAAACTCGTGTTTATGAGCTTCAGGAGCTCCAGAGGTCAATTCTGGTTGGTTTTATAACTAATGCATACCTTTTATAGATAATAACAGTGACAAACTCCTGGCCATTCTTTCACATTATTTTGCCTTTTCAGCTCATTCTGTACAATGGCAAGGATTGGGCACTTTTAACAAAAAAGTTATAGGCTTTTAACCAAAACGTTATAGGCTTTGTGGACTCCTCACCCTGTTCTCTCTCCTCTTAACTAACTCCTGTGCACCACGGGCTGGCCGTTGGGGCTTCTTTTGGTTTGTAGTCTCTGCTAAGCTGTGTCTGGATTTTCCCTTCAGAAGAGGAATGCCAGAGGCATTTTCCTACTCAGTGATGCCCAGGGCACATTGCACACCTTTGTTTCAAAAAGCCGGGCTTTGAACAGAGCGGATGTATCGGGCAGGTGAGACTCTGAGTAACTGGACGTTTGACAATGAGGTCCTGGTGCATCTTTCAGGGAAGGTTTCAGGTCCACTGGTGCAGAGCAGAAATACAAAAAATTCTTCTCTAGGGAGTGGACCACCCTTGGGATTTATGAGGAACATCAGAGTATTTAATTAAAATCGCCAAATAGACTTAAGTATTGCCAGCATTTCACAGCATTTCGGTATTTGCCTGCTGACTGGGATTGAGAGTATCCTTGGAAGATCTTTAGAGCATCCCTGGAAGGTCTTGAAAACTGCGCTTGGTCTTATTTTTAAGAAATGGCATGCTTAGCCTGAATTCAAAGAAGGCTGCAGCTGTACAGATAGTAAAATGATAGTAAATAATGCCTGTAAACGCTGCTATTAAAACAGAGCCGAGGTTTTTGAGCTAGGAGCTTCCACGGTAAGGGCATCTACGGGCTGCCTCAATTCTTGTTAACAAACATGCCCTCAGCAGGCAGTTTCTAGGGTATTGTTCTGAAAATGAGGAGGGGGAAAACTGAACCTCGGGATTGAAGAGAGCCTGAGAATCGTTAATACTGCGAAGGATGAAGATGTAAATGCTGTTTAGTGGAGAGCTTGATCTCTTCCTAAACTGCGGAGGATGAAGGAGAAAAATAAATTGCTCGCCATGTGCTGGCTGGCTCCAGGAGAGTCGGAGTGCAATTTCCTCTTGTTTTATTCTCCTGTTTTATTATCAGTGGCTTTTGTGCCAAGTCTGCCACTAACAATTCCTGCTTGTGGAATTGCTTCTCAGCTCTCAGAGTTGTTATAGGGTCTTAACGTTTGGGCCTCTCCTTGAATTGTGGCTCCGGAGTTTT